GGATTGCAAGGCGTTGATTTTTTAAATAGAGTTTTTTCAAGGACTATAAATGCGTTGAATTTTTAAATAATATTTGTTGAAGGATTATAAAGGCGTGGATATTTTAAATAATATTTTTTCAAGAACTATATATGCGTGGGCATGTATGTATTGCGATAAGTTCGCTTAGTGTAACCTACATCCCACCATGTAAATATTCTTAGTAGTAAGTTTTCTTGTTTAGTGTGTAAGATGTAAATAGTCACTCTCAATAAAGCCGCCAGCCAGAGCACAAGTGTCTTTCCTTTCATCCACTAGAAGCAGAGCAAGAATATATGTTCAACACTATATGGGCGTGGATTTCTTAAAAAAAATATGTTTGAGGCACTTTTAGAACCGTAAGCGTTAATTTTTAAAAATCAATTGATGTGAATATGTTTGTGTCTTAAATCTTTTGTTTTGCATACATGAAGTGGCAAAGGAAAAATTGAAACTTCCCGAATTTTGTAAAATTTGAACTGATTTCAATGCAATTTGGGTCTCAAGGTCAGTTTTGTAGTCAATATTGAAGTTTTTACACCCACCACCATAGTATGGAGGATAAATTAATTTTATCATTCCGTTTGTAACTAATCGAAATATTCATTTCCGACCCTATAAAGTATATATATTCTTAATCAGGGTAAAATTCTAAGACGATTTAGCCATGTATGTCCGTCCGTCTGTTGTATTCACGCTATCTTCTGAAAGAATTGAGATAGGGTACTGAAGTTTTGCAAAGGTTTGTCCATGTCTTGGCATAGCTCCCATATAACAGTACCTCCCAATTTTTGGTATTTTGGGGTCCTTGAGCGCGTTTTTCAGCCGAAATCTCTGAAATTTGGTACATTAATTTCTTATCGGGGATTAAATGTCTCCACCAAAAATTATAAATATAGGTCCACTTTTTTTGGTAGCCCCCATATAACGGTACCTCCTATTTTTCAGTATTTTGGGGGGTTTGATCGCATTTTTCCACCGAATTGGCTTAATTTAGTAATTTGAGTTCTTAATAGATACCAAATCTCTCCACAAAAAATTATAAATATAGGTCAATTTTTTTGGGATATCCCCCATATCAGGGTACCCCCTAATTTTCGGTATTTTGGGGTTCTTGAGCGCGCTTTTCAACCGAATTCGCTTCAATTTGGTATTTGGTAGTCGTATATGATAACAAATCTCCCTACCAAAAATGTTTAATATTCGCTCCCTTTTTGGGGTCGTCCCCATATAACCCCCTTTTTGTATTAAATAGTTATATGATTTGATCCGTGTTTGGGTTTGGTTCTAAGACTCTGTTGTAATTTTTTCATCTGCGGAAGATACGAAAAAAACAGAACATAAGGTTCGATAAATAACCTTATATATATATATATATATATATGAACTGTAAACCGCATTTAGGCCTAGCCCCTGTGTGGAAGGTACCGGAAGGAGTGGACCGATATTCCCCATGTTCGAACTTGAACTAATTTTAGATGAAATAATAAGATAGACAAAGTGTAGATGAAATCAAAAATTTTTGGAAACAAATTTGGTCCACAGAAACATGGAGTCTGGGACCAATTTTAGTTTGTAGAAATGTCGGTATAGGTACACATTTTGGTATGTTCCCTATATTTTTATTTCAAATACCAGTTAGTATATCTGTGTGGGAGGGTATCCAAAGTTCGGCCCGGCTGAACTTAACGCTTTTTCACTTGTTATAACTTATGTACATATAAATATATTTACTTTAACATTTAGAACTATTTTATATTTCTATTATATTTACTCTTCTATTATATTTACTCCAACTTCTGTCAAAATACACATTTCAGAATTTATACATGTTTTAATGCTTATACTTCTTAAGCTGTTTTGGAATGTAACCAGCACTTATGTGTCTGAATAGGTCTACTTGCGTTACCAACAATTTTGGTTAGTTCTTATAAAAAAATCTACATGGTAACAGTTTCAATTTTTTTATAACAAGCAGGGCCTCTAATAAATTTTATAAAACAAGTAATTAAAGATTAGTTGCAAAATTTTATAATATTTTCTAATAAAAAGAAAAAAAAACCATTTTATTAGTCTTTCTCTTTATGGTACACTTTTATAAAGGCCCGCACAGTTACACGTCCCTGCTGCTATTTTAACAACAAAAAATGCCTTTGGGTTTAAGAGTTTATGTTCAGCCAAAGTGAGTTTTATTCGACAAGGCAATGTTCCCACGAAACAGGTTGGTGTTGTTGGTAATGCTGCTGCCGCAGTTGTTGTTGTTGTTGCCGTTTGCTTTACAAAACTCAATGACTGACGAACGACTGTCCAAGATACAAAACAAAAAACACACAACGACTAACTGTGGACTGGATATGCTACTGCTAAAATGATTGTTGTTGTTGTTACTATCGAATACTGCATTAAAAAATGCTATGCTATACTCTCCACTCCTTGTTCGCAAAGCTAAGTAAGCAACGCGTTTTTATTATTTCGTTTTTTAACTTTTTTGTAAGTTTATACTGCTGTAGTTGTGTTTTTTGTAAACATTTTACGTTTGTGTTTTTTTGCTGGCTTGCCACACAACGGTCTAAACTCCGGTCAGACTAATGTCCATTACGTTATGTTCGTATTTTTTTCGTTTGTGTTCTCTTTCTCTTTATTTTTTTACATTGGCATATTCAGCTTTAAACGTTTTACAACAAAAACAACTACACAACTTTGAACGTGTCTGAAAATGTAACTGACTTAAACGTTCTGCTGTTATTTTTTTCTTCTGCTTTATGAAATTCTTTGGAATTCGTTGATAATGAAAAGTTTTTGATTGCAAACAAAACGTAACGAAATAATATGCAATTGATCGATATTGCCAAGAATTGCTGCGAAGAAAAACTTATCTACAAATCTCATTAGATTTGATAGTTCTTAGAGGAAGAAGTTCATGGAATGGAATATTAATGGTGTAATGGGTCTCGATGAGTATCATTTGAAATACATACAGACGAGCTATTAGAGTTTAGAAATTATTGTATTAAGATTTCATTTTTGATAATGGAAAACAATGTTGAAAAAAATTGAAGTTTTATTGAACAATTATAAGAAACTATTAAATTAAAAACAAAAGACTTAAGACACAAACACGAAAATTGTCAGCTGAATAGCCATCGGCCAACAAATTAAATTATGCCAAATGTCCCAGGCTGGGAGACCCGAACAAATAATATCTCAACTTTAAGTCAAAAAATTTAAATCGTTCCTCATTAATTTGTTAAAATAAATTACTTTACTTTTATTTATAGGCCTATTATTGTTTATAATAAACCATGTTAATTCTGAGGAAACTGTGGGTTATCGATGTCAAAAATATCAAAAAGAACAATTCCATTGATTTAAAATACCAAACACAAATATAAACAAATTTCATGTGGCGATAGGGTACTGACACCGCAAAACAATTCCAAAGTACTTAACTACGATTCTCTAAATAGTTTTAACAAACAACAACCCATGTTTCAATGTTTGTAATTAGCAACAGCAAGAACAACAACAACAACAAAAGAACTCCAATCAATTTGAACGTTAAATATGTGCGCGCCTGCGCAATAACACACATTGAGAGGCAACCGGCATTCCATTGTTCAAAAAAAAAAAAAAAACTACAACAAAACTAAGTCAAGTTGAGGTGAAACACAAAAAATTAATGGAATGAAGAATTGTTGTGAAGGTGTTATTTTGGCATTTATTCCAAAACATATTTATCATTTGGAATTTTTTTTTCCTCAAACTGTGATGTGAAATGTGATGGATGTGTGATGGAGAATGAAGAATTTATGTTGGTTTTAAAATGGCGGGGGGTAAGCAGACAAACATTTGTTATTTCATTTAAAATTCTAACTCAAATCTTGATAAGGTTTGCTTTTACTAATTAATTCATAATTTAAATTTATATTTTTCAAAATTAAAAAATGGTTTGAAATGTGTTTTAGTACCCAATGATGACTCTGTTTCTTTATTGTTTTGTTTAAACACACACAGCAATGTTGTACAACAAACTAATTTAAACAGTTTTTTTGTTAATGTTCCTTAAAATATTGAAATTAGGTTTCGCCCCCATATATATTCTGCCTTGCTCTTTGGTTGCTCTTCTTCTTGGTGCTACTCATGCTTCACAGCATAGCCCTGCGTTACGCTTTAATTGCAAGGTTCTTCTAACAGTTTAACCTTTTAATTTCTTTTTTGGTTTTCGGAACCAAGAAAATAAAGACAATTAAAATGAAAATGTTTTTTTTTCGGCTTAGCCGGCCACACGCATCAGACATTTGCTGTTCAATCTCTTGTATTTTTTGGTGTTTAACAAGATAACCTCTGAAACGTTTAAAACCCTCACTTTATTTTTCTGCTATGCTACCACAACTTGCCACATTTGTTTTTAGCCCTGATGTGTTGCTTCCCATTTTGCCATGGGTGTTTATTTTTATTTTTTTGATTAGCCGTGAAAAAATTACCACCAAAGAAAAATATTTTTTTCGTAAAATTTTAAATTAATGATGTTTTGAAAAAAATCTAGGGGTAGTCAAACAATTTTTCGCTGTTGTTTATTTACCGGCATGAAACTTGAAAGAAGATTAAGAGTTTATGGTCTATTGCCATAGATTTTATTATTTTAAGTTTTGATATTCAAGGGCAAACGCCTTAAAATTGGCTGGGAATTCTTGTTGTATTCCTTCATTGGATCAGAGGGATGCATAAGGCTCCAAACATGATTACCTTTTTTAAAGGGGGAAAATTAAAAATATTTTATTTTTGAAAAAAAAAACATTCTAAGAGAGGACTTCCATATAGATATACGATATTTAATTATTTTTTTCAAATCTTTTATCTTTGTTCTCCTCAGGAGACCCTCAATGGATCTATCATTCTCTCTCTCACTCACACCTGATACCTGTCCTTTTTATGTTTTCTGACTGTTTTTTAAGAATCTAAAGAAAAGATTTTGTACTCACCGTCCATCTAAACGTAAACGGCAATATCATAGCATTTCTGCCAGGATCACTGAGGACAAAGCTGGAACCACCCAAAATTCCAGTGGTTGTGTTGCCAAACGAACATCCCGTCGATATGCTGGGAATGCCCTGTTCGGCGGCTGAATACTCTTTGAGACACAAACGGAAAGCCGTTGAACATGGCGGACAACCTGGAAAATATGAAAATAAAAAAAATGATTAATTAAATAAAAATTAGAATAGAATAAAAATATAAAAACTATGTATAACCAGCTATTTCGAAAGGGCGATAATTAGTTGTTCAATTTTTTCAAGGCTATAGAATTGTTGAAAACTATATTTTTTTAAGATTTGGATTTTTAAAATAAAATGTTTAAGGAATAAATTCAGATTTTGTAAATAATACAAGCAAGGCGTAGACCATATAGTATGACTTTTTTAATAATTTTTTTCTAGGACCACATAGGGCGATTTTTTTATTTTTTTTAAATAATATTTTACTTAAGGATTTTTAAAGCCTCGATTTTCTTAATAATATTTTATTTAAGGGATTTTTTAAATAATATTTTATTAGAGGTCCATAGTATTTAACAATAGTTTTTTTTTAAAAGTCTCGAAATGTATTTGGTGTACAATTGTCCTTAACTTGGGCGAAATTATAAATGGAAGTCATATTAGAATTGTAACCCACTTCGCAACGTTATGCATAATTGGACAAACTCTAAATATTTGATTTATTCTAGTCCTAATTTGATCACTGTGCAAAATTTCACATCAATCGGACAAACAGTGCCTTTGGAGTACTATTTCCATAAAATCGGAGGAAAATAAATGTTGGAGCTTTATTTAAATTTTAACCGATTTAAACAAATCATTCATCATTCAAGACTCAATTCATGCCAATCGGGCGAACTTTGGGTATTTGGTGCACCATTTACATAAAATCAGACGAAAGGAGCTATATCTAAATCTGAACTGATTTAGACAAATCTTAGTGCACAGCGTACACTATAAGCACAATTTCATACGCTGGGGTCTATTTCATCAAATCGGACGAAAATATATATGGGCAAAATTTCATCACAAACGTTGGGTATCAGACTTACTTATTTTATTCTTTTAAATTAGCTATTAGACTTACCCGTCGTTTTTGTTCTTCTTAACGCTAAAGGAACACCACAGCAATAGCCCGATAATAAATGATTATTTGTATTTGAGATTTCTAATATTTCTAATTCAAAATTACCAATGGCAGATATCTGAAAATAAAAACAGAAAATACAACAAAATTATTCAAGTTAATATTATGAGAAACAAAATATTAAATTTTATTTTGCAAACTACAATAAATCACCCACGAAAAAAATGCAACATAAAATAATTTTTTTTTGATAATTACTCTGGAAACAAAATCATAAATCTTTCAAGAAAAAAATAAATCTTCAAAAACACACATTAATCTTTGACACATTTTTTTTAAACAGTGGTCATTAAACCAGCATACAATGTTGTGAGATCAACATTATCGGTTTACTAGTATGGTGGTCACTGAGTGAGTAAGTCCGACAGTCACTCAACAAGTGATGTGCCTGCCATTAAGCGAATTAAGAGAAGGCGCTAAACATGAACCAGTTTTGAAAATCATTTCATTTTTATTTACTCTATAACTAAGTCCATCATAATGTGTGATTGGAGGTTTTTCCATTGAAAAATCCCCTTCTCTCATCACTTGTGGAAATGGAAAAGTAGAAAATTCCTGATATTCCTTAATAAGTAGTAAAGTAGCTTGTTAAATATTTTAAATGCCTGTTAATTTTTCTTATGACAATTCTTGTGATGTTTTTTTTTTTGTAGTCAAGCTTTTTCATTATATAAAAATCATCATTGTGATGTGTTTGAGCACACATTGTCCGGCTTAATGGCGACAGGAAGATGGATTGTTGGTATGCCGAAGTTATGTAACTTGTTACAAAGGATTGTCATTCGAAGTTTTTTGCAGAAGAAGAAAAATCAAGGGAAAAAAGGTAGACAGGAAGTTATTGGAGAGGGGGATTATTTGACAATGAAGGTAATTGGAAATATTGATCTAAGCATTTTTTTTAATATGTAGGGAAAATATTTTTCTTTAAAGACACAGAGAAATTGGTGATAATTTTCTGGAGAACTTTTATCCGGAGAAATTCTCAGGGAGGAAATATTTGGTATATTAATTGGAGATTAGCTATACTTAGGATTTAGTTTGAGATTTTCTACAGAAGGCGTAGTCGGATGCAAATGTATAAGGAAGCTATATCTAAAGCTGAACCGATGGGTATCAAATTTGAAATATGTTATTCTAGGCTCAATTCAGTGAGCTGTGCAAAATTTCGAGCAAATCGGATAAAAGAGATATATCTATATCTGAACCTATATCAACAAAACTCAATACACCGCATTTTAGACTCAATGAGGTTTATCAATAGAATAAATATAGGATAAATATAGGATATGGGAGCAACTTCTAAATCTGAATCGATTTTAACTCAACATACATCATTTTAGACTCAATGTGCTATGCATCATTTCGAGTAAATCGTCTTTGGAGCACCATTTTCTAAAAATCGGACGAAAATATATATGGGAGCTATATATAAATCCAAACTAATTTTTACAAAACTTGATACACATCATTCTCGCTTTAATTTGGTACACGGTGCAAAATTTCATTTGAGTCGGATAATTTTTGACTGTTTGGTGCATCAAATCGGTCGAAAATATATATGAGAGCCATATGCAAATCTGAATCGATTTCCACAAAACTTAATATACTTCATTCTAATCTCAATATTGTACAATTTGGATAAAATTTCATCTCAATTGGACAATCCACTGATATTTGGAGCTCAATTCACCAAAACTCGGACGAAAGTATATATGTGAGCTATATCTGAGTCTGCATCGATTTCAACAAAAACTGGCACACCTAATCTTAAATTCAATTCGGATCGATTCGCAAGATTTTGTCTCAATCGGACAAACCTTTGCGGTTTAATGCTCCTTCTATATGAAATCGGACGAAATTACTGATAGCTTTATTTAAATCGGATCTGATTTGTTAGCATTTTTAATAGGATTCGGCTTTTGGATCAATTTAATAGGTAGTCCTAGATTCCATCGCAATATCCAATAGCGATAAAATCTGTGACCAGCACCATTCGTTTACAAAAATACATGGTTAAACGGGCGGATTTGGTTAAATCAAATCAAATAGTGACTGTATATCCTCAAAATGTAACTATGGGTCTATCTCGGTTTCCATCTGCATATTCCATATAAAAGCACAAAGACATAACACCCTATACCACAGCGTAGTGTAGGGTATCAACACATGACACAACTTTTGAGTCCGCATCACAGCAGCAAGTCTATTCCAATATATGTTACAGAATAAAAAGGCAGTGAGGAAAGACGACACAAAATCAAGCATGATCACAGTGGACATTATAGTCAATTCAATACCGGCTACCACCACCACGTACCACCAATACCCTCGGACTATATGCCAAGTCATGGCATATAATCGCCTTTATTTTTTCTTGTTGTTGTCATAGCCATTGATCAATGCTGTCCAACGATGATGTTGTTATGGCATCTCCTTCTTCTTCGTTCTTTTTTTTGACTTCGTCATCATCTAGGTTGCTTCTATTTACAATCGTTGTTTTTTTCTGATTTCGTTCAATACGCTCTTGTTTATCCTCTTATTCTGGTATTTTATATTATTTCGTATTTTTTATCTTTCATCTTTTCTTTGGTTTTTTTCTGTACCATGCTATTAACATTGTTGTTGGGCATGATGATGATGACGATGAGGTTGATCATCTTGTTTGTTGTATGCCACAACAAATCCTGCTACACAATCTCTGCATATATATTTTTGTTGTTGGTTGAGTCGAAGAACGAAAAACCCACCTGTGATCAGCCCCATTTCACAATACTTATTTGACGTCATGAATATATGTATGTGTTTCTGTGTGTTGGTTTTACATTATTGAGCTTTTTTCTTATAAATTCTTCTTCATTACTGATTGATCTCAAAAAGACCGGAGAAGAAGCTGTGGATCTCAGAGTAAAAAATACAATATTTTATTACTGATCAATCTATAGATATCTCAATATGTTGTTTGTTTTTCTGTCATCTTTATTTGACCACTGTTTCTTTTAGTTCTTGGCATTATAGATTGGTTAAGAGAGGGACAAAGTTAGTGAGGCCCAAGGTACTCAAGAAATATGACTATTTTTACCTATGTCTTCCCAAAAATTGGTGAAAATCTTTTCAGATTTTTATCGATCCACCAAAATTCCAATCTTTGTCCGATTGTTAAGATATTTTGCACAGGTTACCAGATTGAGTCAAGAATAACGTGTATGGACTTTTATCGAGATAGGATCAGATCAAATCGCCGGATTTGATGTAAATTGTACATCAAATAACTACAAATGTATCCGATAGAGGGGAAATTGTTCATAATGTACAAAATTGAAGGGCTTGTATTAAGGTTTGTTAAAATAGGTTCCGATATAGAATCATTCAGATTTGTTCGGTGTCAGGCAGATCTAAAATCATTACAAATTTACATATAGCTTTAAAATATAATTTTATTTTTATATATATCAATGATGTCAAAATGGATGTCAAAATGACCAATGGATGTCAAAATGACATGAAATTTTGTCAACTTTCAGGAACACCTCTTGCTCCTAAAATTCGATCTCCGACTTAAGAAAAATTTTCTTACCGATTTTTATATATAAATCCTACGGCATATCGAAAAAATGTTCTGTTATAAAAAAATAAATGCAAAAGAACAAAACAGGGTCTTCTGGTTCAGACGGTCTAGATAACCCTTGGCAACAGAAAACTTAAAAAAGACAGTAGAAAACCTTCAAAAATTTTACCCGAATAATTTGCTGGGGTAGCATATACCCTATAATTGTTCAGTGCAACCACATGACATATGTTCAATAACCAGAATACAATTAGAACCCCCTTTATGTATTTCCTATAGCTAGGGCACAATCTAGACATCTCATAAAGCCTAAAAAACTTGATAGAGGAAATTCTACCACAAGAAGAATTGTTAGATGGGGTCAGAATAAGTTTAGGAGGTGTTCGGTACACAGGGACTCTTTGGAAGTCTACTAACCAGAAGTTCTTAAGATTATTTATAGCCAATAGATCCTTCACAGATTTTCAATAGCCAGAATACAATCGGAACACCCTTTATGGATTCCCTATAACCATTATGGAGGTATTCTATAACCAGAAAACATTTTAGATGTCTTTTATGAACTTTTTAGATGTCTTCTGTTTATGCAAAACCTTGGCCATTAATTTTTAATAGCATCTACATAGTTCCACACCAATTAAGCCATTCATTCATCATCTTTATTTTAAGTTTTCTCTTCTTCTTTTTATTTTCTTTTTTTGAATGAATATTCATCTTAATTAGTTTTGATCATAATTTAAACATCAACATTTAAACGCTACACATTAATCAAATCGATAATCATATGCAAGATTTAAAATTTATAAAAGTTACTAAAAATTTTTCAAAACGAAAATAAAATATTCCCACAAATACAATGTGGAACTCATTTCTCAGCTTGCTAAAATTAAACATAAATGGCTGAACAAATTTGAAATTGCTGAAGAAGACAAGAGGCAAAAAAAAAGGTAGCCTGTAGAGTTTTTAATTTTAACGTGTATACGTTTTAATTACTGAAAAAATGATTTGAAATAACTGCTAAATAAAAAATAAAATTAATTGCAATGGCAATTAGGATCTAAATGATGCACATGTACCAATTATTTAAAAAAAATATGATTTTTAATGAAATAATTTTTTTTCAAATATTTATTATCCAATTTTGTATTGAATTCATTTGGTTAAACTACAGAAAAAAAATAATGTGGCCTTTTTGTAATTTAAAATATTTTATTGTCAATGTAATTCTTTAAATTCCAAATTTGGTCATCTGTGTTACACCCACATATTTGCTAGCCACTGCGATTTCCCCAAGAAAGCCTTCCTAACATTTTTTCCCATTCTCTCTCTCTCTCTCTCTCAACTGAATTGCCTTAAATGTAATCTTATCCAAAAATATAAAATTAAATACCTGATTAAACAATTTTAAATTTCTTTTTTTTTCAATTTTCACCATAAATGTAATCAATTTTTATAGAGATTCCTCAAATTGACAACTGGTTTACATTCGTTTAATTTCCTACAAAGATCTTGCAGATAACAACAAATAATGCCTCTTTAAGAAAACATTAAAAATAATCTTCGACAATTAATCATGGTTACAATTAAAGAACATTGTTATGGGTTGTCTGTCTATCAGTCCTAATGTTGGTTTGATAGACTCCGGTCTCTCATCAAATCACACTTGTCAGACTCATACGGTATGGAAGAAGGTGTATGAGATGTTGGTTGGTGAGAAAAAAAGGCCTTCATGTTTTATTACTTTGTAATTAATTAAATGATGCCATAGTATTTTTATGGTCTTCACTGCATTTTTTTTATTTGTGATTGTGAATAATTTGATGATTGTGATCTGCAAGAGCCTGAGATGTATTTGTGTTCACTGTGATGTGAATTTTATGTGTCGTCTTCTTCTCAATTTCATAGAAAGTAAAATGCCTGCTGTTATATGACAATAGTTGTTTTTTATTGTTTTGCGGGGGCTGTAAATGTTTAAATTTGGTTGTAAGTGATTAGCTGGCATGTAACAAGTGTCTCGGTCTAAGTAAACATTCAATTTTTTTTTTTTGAAATCTGATAGAATTGTAATTAATATTAGAAATTGGTGAAATTAATTTATTTACGAATTTAAAAAAAACCTATTAATTAAAATCGATTAAAGAAAAGAAAGTAGTCGACAATTTCTTAGAAGGTATTTTTAAACTCCTTATATTTAGAAAATTTGTTAGAGGTCTTCTAGCGCTTGTGAGATCATTTATAGTAATAATAACATGTGTAAATTTTTAGGCAGAATACCCTTTGGAGGTATGCAAGACAACCACTTGATAGATGTTCAATAGCCAGAATACAATTAGAACACCCTTTATGTCGTTCCTATAGGAAAGGAGCTTTCTAGACATTTTCTAACAAAACTTGATAGAGGAAATTCTATCACCATAAGAAATGTTAAATGGGGGTTACAATAAATTTAGGAGGTTTTCGTACACACAGACTCTTTGGAGGTCTACTGTAACCATAAGTCGTTTTTAGGACTAAGTCAAAAGAAAGCGATCTTTTTAAATATTTCGGAGCAGTATAGTCGGACGGGGCCGGCCATATGATACCCTACACAACTTCCACGAAAATCTAAATTTGTTTGGTTCTATATTCTGACCTTGGGCAATATTTTGCGACATTTGCACCCTCTTGACAGACTAGAGTCAATAAGTTTTACTAATATTCAGTACATACCTTCTAATTACTAGTCCAGATTCCTTTCAACATGGGTTGTGTTGTGATGTTCGGCTTTCAATTGTGGCCCATAGATAGACTCGAACAGACACAACAAATTTAGTTTTCGGTCCACTTCATCCTAATATTATTATCTGATCATCACCGAAAATTATAGGAGTTGAGCTTGACCATACCGGAAACCTCATGGAAAATTTCGTGGTCCTCTAATGGGTTATTAAATAATATCTAAAGGCGTAAGCACCTGTAAATATTTAAGTGAAACTCCCACATCCGACCATATAATTGGTATCAATTTAAAGGTCAACCACTCCTCTTTGATATACTATCAACGTCTCGGGTCTATGTCCTTCAGGAGTAAATATATTCCCCATAAAATACAAATTTTGTAATTTTCAACACAAAATTCAGTGTCCATTTGACCCGCTAAATATTGACCGATCTTTATGAAAGCAGGCATGCTTATTCTTTGGCCCGATCCCCTTCTCCATGTAAAATTTCGCGATGTCTGGCCCATAATTGCGGCCTCTGGAGCTACAAGAAAATCAGACAAAAATAAAGTTTTTTGGTCCCTTTCATCCCCTAAATATTAACCGATTTTTACCAAAAACAATAGGGGTCTTCATTAGCCAGAGCCCATCCTACATGCAAAATTTCGTGAAGATTGGTCCATAATTGTGGCCTGTATCGCGTTTACAAACTATAATGGACAGACGGTCGTACACACATGTCTAAATCGATTCATCTAGTCGAGATATTACGATTATTGTTCATAGAATTTTGGCAGTAGACCTTTCAAGGCTATTGTTAAAACAAATGCTCCCAAAAGTCAGGCATTAAACTGTCAAAAAGACATCTTACAAATAAATCGATAAATGAGCAAAAATAAAATCAACAAAACAAAAACGACTTCGAAAAAATCAAACTCAATCTGTCGAAATGTCGAATAAAGCAATGTTCCAATTAACAAAACTTTTGAATTGAAAGAAAAAACAACAACAAAGCGGCTACACAAGAACAAACTAATTTAAAAAAAACAAATCAAACACTTGAGAAACCAACCAAGGGAACAACAATTTAAGCAGAGGCCATAAAAAATCAAAACGACTTAAGACACAAGCGCACATTAATAGCCCCCCTCTTCCTAACGTACTTTAATAGTCTCCTTCATTCAATACACATAAAAAGATATTTAGGGAAGAATCGAACAAAATGAACAAAAAAACATTTTTTTCTCACACAACTTCGTCAGTCTACCAATAAAAAATTTTTGGTTTTGTTGTTGCTGTTTGATCCAAAAGATTTGTATCGTTAAATTTTTGTTATTGTTTTGCTGTTGTTGTTTAGTAAACTTCAAAATATTGAAAGCAAACAAATAACTTTTAATAGAAGTCGGTACGTCTGTCTGACCGTTTGCCTGACTGCCAGCCTGCCGGTTTCGGCTCACAGGGTTCTTTGTGCGTCAAACAAAAAGATGAGAAAGAGTTATTAATGCTCCCCCAATCCCAAAAAACACATAATGATCAATGAAGAAGAACAACAGTAGTTGTTTTATTGTTGTTTATTTGTGTGTTCGTTGTTGATTCTCATTCTTATTCTTCTTGTTTCCTTTTTGGCGTAAGATATCTTAGCATTGGGTCAAGATTAAACTAATGATGATAATTTATTACAAGATGCCGTTTAATTAAACAAAGATAAGGTCAAAAGGAAAAAAATGTTAGTGTTAGGAATAAAAGAAACGAAAAAGAAATTAAAAAAATAATGAGAAGCTACTAAATGGTTTAGTAGCGGGAGATATTAAAGAAAATAAATAGAGGAACAAATCAGCAAATTCTCAAGAACTTAAATATGGATGAGGAATCATTAGGTCCTTCTAAGGATTTTTAGAGAGTCTTTAAAGGAAATGAAAGAGTTTCAAAGTTATTTTTTAAAGACAAAATAAGGGATTTTAAGGACAAAAGAAAAGGTTTCTCAAAAATATTATTTGAGGCCATAGAATGTGTGCTTTTTTTAATATTTTTTGAGGCCATAGAAGGCGTGGATTAAAAAAAAAATACATTTTTTAGGGCCATGGAAGGCGTGGACTTTTTAAAATAATTTTTTTGAGGCCATAGAAGGCATGGATTTTTATGCTCTACACAACTATGTTGCCAGGGTATTATTGCTTTGTGCAGCCCCAAGAGTGTGTAACGCCGCGAAATATTGGTCCTAGACCCACATTTAAGTATACCGATGGGCATATCTTTACTAGCTGAGTCGATCTAGACATGTGTATCCGTCCGTCCGTCAGTCCATTATAATTTGTAAACACGATACAGGCCACAGTTATGGACCAATCTTCACGAAATTTTGCATGTAGGATGGGTTCTGGCCAAAGAAGACCCAAATTGTTTTTGCAATGATCTTTTAATATTTAGGGTATGAAGTGGACCAAAAACGTAATTTTTGCCTGTTTTTCCGGTTGCTCCAAAGGCCGCAATTATGGCCCGAACATGAAATTTTACATGGAGAAGGGGATCGGGCCAAGGAATAAGCAAGGCCGTCGGTCAATATTTAACGGGTCAAATGGACCTTGACTTTTGTATGAAAAATTACAAAATGTGTATTCTATAGCGTATATATTTACTCATGAAGGACATAGACCCGAGAAGTTGATAGTATATCCAAGAGAAGTGGATGGCCTTTAATTTGATACAAGTTATATTGTCGTATGTACTCGGATGTGGGAGTTACACTTAAATATTTACATGTGCTTACGTATTCATATATTATTTAGTAAACCATTACCTCACTAGAGGGCGAAAATATAACGGGATTATGTGGGCCGAAAACTTAATTTTTTGTGCTTCATTTTTAGTCGATCTATAGGCCACAATTAAAAGCCGAACATCACAACGCAACCTACGGTGAAGGGAATCTGGACAAGTAATTATATGGGCTATACTGAATATTGGTAATATTTGTTGACCTATAGTCGGTCAAAAGGATGCAAGTATCGGCTAAGCTCAGAATTTAGAAACACAGGAAGTTATATTTTCGTGAAAGTTGTGTAGGATATCATATGGTCGGCCCCGTCCGACTATACTGCTCCGCTCACTGGTTTTTAAAATATATATAACAGGCATGAAGTTGTTAAAAAATTATTATTAATAGCCAAGAATATGCGTGTTTTTATTCTTTTTAAAAATTATTTTTAAAAAAAGAAAATATGGCGCTAAATGTTTGAAGAGTTGGATTTTTTTTTTAATTTTTTAACTTTTTTAAAAATATTTTTATATACATTTATAAAATAAAAAGTGTCATGTACTTACCTTATTTACTGATAAACTTAATATAATAAAAATTATTCTTATTAAATTGGACATTGTTAGCCGATGGCTTTGTGTAAAGCTGCTACTGTGATGCTGATTATAATCCATGGATTTTCTTCGAAAATGTTTTGTAAACATTTTTGTTTGTTGTGATAGCGGGAATGTTGTTGTCGTTGTTGTAGATGTTGCAGATGATGACATTTTAAAGAATTTTTATTTGTTGTATTTTTTCACGGAATAATGCTTAGCACTTGTTGTGGGGTTAGTTGTTGTAGTTGATATATTTTTAATTTATTTTAAGGTTCCATTATTTAATGTTTATAAATTTTTATTATATCTGTGTAATTGTTAACTTGTTTCTATATTTTGTTGTTGTTATTTTTTATTGTACTGTAGGAGGAGAGAATAAAGTAATTTAAAATTTTAATTTTTATATTTTTTCTTTAGTATTCTTTTAATAATTAATTTTGAATTAATTATTCATTATTTTTCTTTGCCACAGTTTCTTTGCTTCCAATTTTATTTGTTATCGATAGTACTTTTACTTTTCTCCTTGTTATTATTTTTTTATTTACATAGTTTGCTTGCGTTCATTCATTCATGCGTTCCACTTCAAACCGGCAAAAATAATGTGTAAAAAAAAACGAAAAAAAAACAGAAAAACCAACACAGAAGTGAAAAAACAGCAACAAACCATCTGATGCATGCCACCATCATATGCAATGCAAATGCAATTCAATTTAAACTAATTTAAAATTCACAATTTTTTTTTTTTTTTTGTTATTTCTTAATTCTCTTCTAATTGCAAATGCAGTTGGCAACAAGCCACTCACTCGCCCAGTCAGTCAGTTGAATTTCGATGTTGTATACAATTTTACAACTAGTGTGTTTATGGCCACGAATTATGAACTCCCTAGTGGATATAGTAAATAACTTGAATAATTTAAAAAAAATGTTTTATAAGGGCTTAATAATTCTAATATTGCTCTGGGAATCTAGGGCAGTTTTTAAGAAAATTATATTTTTTTTTTGTAGTATGGATTTGAAATTAAGTATTCAGGAACTCACAATTTTTATTATTTTTTTAATAAAAATGCTTCAAACATCTGCTCATATAATGTCTATTCTATTATGACGGATATTAGGCTTTTACACAAAGTTATCTTTCAAGGGCTTACCAAACATTTTCAAATGTTTATTAATTTTTCCATTAAAAAAATATTTAAAACGTCCATTGTAATTAATTTTCTGATCAATACAGCACTTTTAACGTCCTGCTATAAAATGCCAGTTCTATGATATCCCACATCACCTAAATTCCAATTAGTTCAAAGCACTGACACATCAATAAAACAACAACAACAAAAACATCATATATGAGTTTTATAATAATCACAAGATCGATGGTCAGTCAGCCAACGAAAAGCAAAGGAATGCATAATAAAAGTCATGGACATTTACTCTTGTCTGTCTCCCAACTTCGTATTTACATGTCCACATGACTCACCCATATGACGCTCTTGGCTATGCAAATTGCATTTCTCCCAGCAATAAAACACCCAACCAAGCCAGCCGTTTAAATTGGTGTTTTTCCTTCGCTAATTGTTTTTGATTTTTCTTAACGAAATTGCAGTAAACGTTTTCTCGGCTGCTATTGTTGTTGTTTTTTCTTTATGGTGGGGATTGTCTGTCTGTCTATCTCCTCAACATGTGTGGTGTTAATTACTCTTTAAATACATTAATTAATTTGCATTACAACAAACAAATAAGAAAAACTACGTCATGGCAATTATAATAAATAATGATAGTCATTCGCACAACTGACCGAACATTTATAATTCTTGACAGTGTGATAGATTAGTTGTGAGAGAGCGAAAAGAGGCTGAGTGCAATAGGAGGAACTAGTCGTTGAATCAACGACATTGATGCACATGTGTAAAACGATGTGTGTGTGTGCACAGAGAGTTGTAATGACTCTCACTTGTAAATTGTTTTTGTTTTTCATATTTGTCTCCTAAAACGGAAGTCGTTGACTCGTCGGTTAGTTATAGTAAAATGCAAACTCACACGAGACACACACACAAAGACACCCAACCATATAATGTGAATGATAGTGCATGCGAGCATGATGACTTAAAATAATGCAATCATCTGCATTGAAGTTCAATGAGCATATTTGTTTTCTCGCTCTGCGTGTGTGTGCTTGTTTGTCTTTACAAAAACAATAAAACACACAATAACTTTTATTTTCACAGAGTAAATCATATTTTTTCTCATAGAGAGGGTTTTGTTTTTGTATTATGAATTCGTGGTTGTTGTTTTAGATGATGATGCTGCTTGCTTGCTTGTCTGAGCAAAGTTTATTTAAAGAATGACCGGAAGTTAAATGGCATTCTTGTGTTATATGTAGTTTTATTGTTGAATTTTTATAATGAATTATGGGTTCATAGTTTATAATTGGAGCATTTAATGACAAAAAAGAAAATAAAACAAGAAAAAATAGAACAGGGAAATTAAATAAAAAATAAAAGAAATAAAACATATTAATAAGGGCAGCTGAGAAAAATATTGTAATAAAATAAAAAAAATAATAATAATAAAAAAAGAAAATTTAAGAAAATAATAATAAAAAAACAAATAGAAAAATATGTAAAATAAAATAAAGAAATATAAAATAAAGTAAATTAAAAAATAACAGAATTAAAAAAAATAAAATAAATTAATTAATAAAAATAAATCAATTAAAATATAAAATAAATAAATAAAAATTCAGTAGTGTTGGCGGGTTATTTGGAAATACCATTTGTATTTTGCAAAATAGTCAGACTGAATCCCAGTTTGTTGTTTTTATAAAAAAAAACAACTTATTAGTGGAGAATGTAAGGCATTGTCCGCCGAAATTTAAAAATTTCCAGATACCCTTTCCTAGAGTCAATTCGGAGCGCATTTTCTTGACATTCTCGAATTACTAAGAACATTTTCCCCTTTGGTTCTACATTAAATAAAGCAATTAACAATAATTCCTGGAAAATCGAATAAAATCCCTTTTTTTTCTTCACCAACTCACCTATCACTAATTCCAGTTGAACTAATTCTTTGACCATCTAATTAATGTGTAGATCTATAAATTCCACAAAATAACTTTATTTTATTAAGGCATTAACATGATGTACTGCATATCAAATAGACATAAACCATAAAACCTCTCTCTCAAATTCAAGTTATAATCAAAAAATCATAAAAACACAAAAAGAAAAAATGGGAGCTGGGAACTTTATCAAAAAAGGGTAATAAAATAATGAAGGTAAGCCGAAACAAAAACGAAATAAATAAAGATATAAAAAAATCTACGAGTCTAGAATGAGGTTAGTTCAACATGCTTTCTTTTTTTCAGATTTAAATAGGACTCTAATAAAAAATTTCATTTTATGTGGTTTTGACAAATAATCGCAATATTTATATCTACATAGATTCCGGTATGGACTGGATAATTAGTATTCAGGTTGATTGCAGTATTTGAAATTTCATATATTTCTTTTAATTTTAATGTAAACTTTCGTAATATAAACTAAAAAAGTGGCGCCCAACATATTTTGATTTGCTAAATTGAGGTTTTGCTCTTAATCTTAAGCACTTCAACTAATGACGTGATTCCTGTTTACTGTATATTTTTTTTCTAGTGATTTTTTCCTAAAATTTATTTTGAAACGTTCTTTGTTATATTGTGGCGCCCAACAGATTTTTATTTATTAAATTAAGTTGATACTCTCAAAATCAGTAGTTCATATTTTTCAATTGTTTCTTCTAAAATATGCATCGTTAAATTGTGGCTCCCAATATATTTTGATTTATTAAATTTTTTTAAACTTATTAATTCAATTAAAACATGATTCCTTTTGATGATGTTTTAATTGTTGCTGATTTTTTACTAAAAATTAGCATTGCAATAATAGTTTTGTTTTTAAATATTTTTTATTAAATTGTTGCGCCCAACATATTTTGATAAAATTATTTTTGATTAATATATTAATAAATATTGGCTTGTCTTATACTATTCCAGTTTTAAATATTTCTGTGAAAACAAGATTTACTCTACCTGTTCTTCAGAAATTCCTAATTTGAAGCAACATTATTGTAAAATATTCAGCTTTTTCATATTCTGTGTCGATTTTTCTATTTTTACACACATTTTTATCCTCGGTTGGGTAGAACACTGTTTTGCATTTTTTAGAAAGTCTAAGTTAATTTTGTTTCTTACATTTTTCCACAGTCCTCTTAAAATTAAATCTTTTTAAATATTCCTAGTAACGTTTTCCGCATAAATCCAATTAGATATTTATTGGAGATTTTGGCTTTCAAGTCGAAAATATTTTTTATACAGTTTTTTATTTATTTTTATATTTTGTCTAATAGTTTAAAAAATAAGTTTATTATTTTTTATTCAAAGCAAAAACTATTATAGTTTTGGGTTTGTAAATAATTAAAAAACATATTATCCATAACATCTAACTTTTAATATATTTTTTTAATTTTTCAGTTTTATTTATTTTTATTTTTTACTCTCATATATTTGTTCTGGAAATCATTACACGATTATTTCCATTTTCAGTTTTGTAATATGTTTTCGTATTTTTTCAGTTTTATTTTTTTTTTTTAATTTTTTCACTTCTCACACTTCTCTTTGTAAAAAATCCTTAACAGTTTTATTTTTCAAATATTTAACAGTCCATTTACAACACCAATAAACCAATTTATTGCTTTAAAATGGAAAAAATGTTTACTCCACATCATTGCACTGCACTAAATTTCCTTTTAGCATATTAAACAGTTTTTACACCGCCGCCGCCGCCGCTTTATAACAAATCACGATCTTGATTTGATTTGTTTTGCATTGATTTAACCAATGCATGAAACTCCCATTAAAAATAACAAACACGTTCTCGGACTCTCTTTCGATTATTTATGATTTCTTTGTATGTACTCACACAACAAAAACAATAATAATAACAACAACACACAGTTTGTAACTAAGTACTCTTGCACAGTTATTGCGCTGATTTACAATATTTTAAACACTTCGTTTTTTGTTGTTGATGTCGGCATCAACAATCGTTGAAAAGACGTTACTTTTTTCTTTTACGATCTTCTTTCTTTGGCTTTTCTGTTTATTACACTGAGTACTACTCTTCAGTTTTAATACG